CTGTGTATGTAAGATTTTTTAAAGAAAACCATGTATGCAATATGTTAAATTACATAGGATGCAAGCAAAATCCCTTACCCAAGCTCTGTAATGACATCTTGACATGTCCGAGCATCCGTATTGAGGGAATGAAAGCCCGTTTTCCGTTGTCTTGGAGTAGGATCACTCTCCGAAAGGGTATCCACAGGAACAGAGACACCTGAACCGACAGTGGGAACGTCCACACGACCACTGTTGTCAGAAGAAAACCACTTAACCAATTTCTTCAAGGTGTCTATTGGTGAAAGAAGACAGTGTGCAGCCTTGTGAAAAAAATCAAAAACAGCCTCTATGGTGATCTCAATTGCTAGATGGAGGTCCTACATGTAAAAAATTCAGACCAAGTCATTTCCATGAAAAGTTACAATCGAGGAGAAAACAAACAATTGTATAGCATATAAGGGACAAAGTGATTTCTAAAAGACACCATTTTTATATTCCCTATTCTCCTTTCTATTATTCTTCACTTTGGTATTGTTCTTGAGCAGGCAGTGCCAGAGGAATAGGATGTTGGTGATAAAGCCCATCAGGAGTTAGTTCAGATGCTTGGTTGCTTCTGTTTGACATAAGAACCAACAGAACTACTTAAGTCCAACTTTTTCCAAAGCCATCAGGAGTTAGTTCAGATGCTTGGTTGCTTCTGTTTGACATAAGAACCAACAGAACTACTCAAGTCCAACTTTTTCCAAAGCCGACCAGAGTGCCAGAAGGCTCCTGCTAAAGCAGACTCAGGAAAAGACGGGGGTCAACAGGTTTCCCTACTTAATGGAGAGGCTGCTTCCTTGTTTCAAACCCTAGTCACTCATAGAAACACGGAGCACTTCTCTGTCGCCCCAAGGCTAGCCTTCTCAGGTCCAACATTTTCCTTGACATTAAAATGGTAAACAGGAAAACTTAAAAGCTAATTAAAGTTGTAGTTCTTCACACCCTTTCTTCACTCAATTTCACGGATCATTTTCCTTAACCTGCTCCTTGATGTACTGCTTAAGGAGAGGAGCCTTTTCCGATCACCTCCGCTATCACAACCCCACTTATCATTGATAAAGTTCTCTTACCCTTCCATAAAGGGCAGAGTCAGATTGTCTTTTCTTTTCCAATTCAATCTAGATAGGTTCTTTGCTCCCTCATTACAGTTCTTTCTCCCATGTATTTTCTCCTTGTTATTTTGTAATATAGTAATTGTTTTCAGATACGAAATACATTCCTCTGAATCTAAGGAGAACCAGAAAAAGGGAGGCTAACTATCTCGCTCATTCATAGTCTCTCTTCAGGAATTGCGTAGGAAATTGTAGACGAAAGAAAGTGAAGGTAGCAATTAAGCAGAGTCAACATCATATGAATGTTGGAATGTTGGCGTATTTTTGAGTCAACATCATATGAAATAGAATGAAGTTTTCTATCTTTCAATTTGCTTCCATTTCTGAATCAATTGGTTTCACCCTTCCATACATGGAAGAGAAGAAAAAAAAAAATGGACGAAGATTAATGTTACGCGAAAAGTCAAACCTCAACAACGCCACGTCTTCTGTCAGTGGCAGACTGGATAACTTGATCCCTGAGTGTCTGTAATCTCTTCCTAGCTTGTACATGGGAAGACTGAAAATTCTCAGATGTCCAAGAGGCTCTACGGCCCCTACTCAAAGCATATATAAACAAAGGTAGGCCCAACATAAATTTAATAGGGAATAGGAGCCATGAGACGATGTATCTGAACCAATGCATCCAATGCCTGTTCCGCCTTGAAAGACTGCGAGCTCTAGAAACCCGAGAACTTTGTGACAGTGGAGATGGAGGACAAATGGTTTCATCAGTATATTGTTCTTCTTCTTCTGATGAATAATCCACACTTGAGGAGGAGGTATCAGAATCAAAAGAATGTTCATGGATGAACTGGTTAAAAGATGAGGCGCCACTGTGATCACCAAGAAGGTAATTGTTAATACATTTGCATTATAAAAAAGACATTAATTCAAAAGCCAAAACAGGGTAACATGGAAAAAATTAGAAAGCTCACTTCTCCATCCACTGTGGAAGCCGAGGTCCACGAAAGGTTGGACGAAGTTCCCAACCATGTATGCCTTCAAGAATAGTAGATTTCCCCGGCAATATCGTCAATAATAGTGCTGACACTCCATTAATCAATCTCACAACATTATTCAGCGACTCATAGGTCAATGTCTTAACTGACCTGAGTAAATGTTAACAAGAATCAGAAACATCGAATGATGCATCAATAACAAAACTTGCTAAAGCTAAAGACAAAAACCTACAGCCAGAAAGTAGCGTGAAAGTAACCCTAAGGATTTCAAGCTGAATAAATATTACAACGTAGGTATGAGATGATACAGCTGAGTATGAGCTAGTTTTATGACTAGTAACTTCAGAGCTTATTCCAATCCATCCACCCAAGTAATAGTGCTGACTTCTAAAGCAGTGGATTATCTAATATCATTACGAAAAGTTCCATCTATTATATTTCCTTAAAAATAAAAAAGGGCAAAGAAATGAAGGAAATCATATAGATATTGAGCTTATAATGTTGTCCTCCACTCAACCAATGCCCTTAAGGCAATCAGTACAATTAAAAAGGAAACTTCTGCAATACTTCATGTTTATCCCACTGTATGAATAGTGGAGATTATAGCTAAATCTATCCAAAAAAAAAAAACAATTGTTATATTAGTTTGACTACCATAAATGGCATCAGGAGTAAATACAAAGAAGCTAGAGGTTCAAAAATAAGATGTGGAACATATTGCTCTACTTCTTATTTTCTTAAGCTCTGGCTGATCAACTGAACCCAAAACAGAAACTTAAACACAAAATTGCATTTTTTCCCACCAAAACTTAAGCATTTAACAGTTGAGCAAGATGTACACTCATACGTCAAAAGAGATAACATTTCTGCACCTGAACTAGGACAATCATGGCGAATTTCAACCTCTGAAACAACAATTTTCCAAAAGAAACTTAATGCGAGAAAGCAAAAGATCACAATCAGATAAGCCTCAATCCAATATCAATAAATCTTCCATACATTCCGCCCCCCCTCCATTTCATTCCAATCAGAACCACTATACGCCTGAATCGCATACAGGCATGTACATTATGTGTATATTATACACATAACAAAGACGAGAAACGAAGAACTTACTCTTTGGTAACAGCAAGGGTATGGTCAACGAGCCGTTGCATCGGTTGCGACAACGTAGATTATATTTGGATTAGATTTGGTAACAACAACAACAAATAATGGAAACCGAGTAAATCGATATATCTCCGGGAAGAAAAAAATATTCAATCGAAATAACTGCAAACTAATTTCCAAAATTCTCCGGCAAGATAGAGAGAGAAAATGGATCCGTGCCCGGCGAAATAGGAGTCGGTAAAGATATAACACGCCCGATTCTTGCCGTCCGGAATAAGTCGGTTTGTGGTCTGTAAAAATGGTTCCCAAATTGCAACTTGGCATTCTATAATTGGATAGAATTATTTCAATCGCTTTCTACCCCTGCAGTGACGTGTCGATGACTACACGTTTGTGTTTATATATCCATTCGACTCGAAAGTCAAGATACGCTTGATTTAAATATTTCATCATATTGCAAATACAGTCCCTGAGTTAGTGCTGAATGACGAGTAAACGTCTAATTTAGTTAGAAGGATAAATAGTATTCTCATTTTTTTTCGGAGTAACTTGAATGCTCAAACTAGCATTGATGATAAAAGCGTTCTATCACTAAACAAATTTCACTTTATCAGATTGACACATCATATGTTAGAGACGATGCGATACGGGGATAAATATCTATAAAAATTGACAATAAAATAAAAATTATATAATATTTTAATGAAACTTTTTGAGTGTTCGTAAAATAATGGTAAGAAAGTAAAAATTAAACAAATGTGAAGGTCTCTAACTCTCTCTTATAAATAGGAAAGAGTCATTTTTCTTCTATTGGTGAAAATAATTTTCTTCAAATTACTTTCGTATTGTGTTGAAAGTTCAAGTTTCCTTGTATAGTTTAGTCTGAATTTGTGTTTTCTTGTTTCCATAAATAGAACATCGATAATAGATTACATGTTACACAAAAGTTGAGAAAATTTACTCTTATTATACACTCTTTTTGATATTTTAATAGATATTTTGTACATGTTATTTTATCTCATTATTTCAAATCATGAGATGAAATCTTTAATTCTTCAAAAAATAGATTTGAAAATTTTATATCATGATTTCACATTTTTTCAAATACAAAAATTAGCCCACATTTTGTGAAAAAAATCCCACCATTTTACATCCTCCAACCGTTTATTTAATATGCAAACAAAAAATATCAAATTTTAAACATGAATATAACTATTATTCTCACCAGCATAAATATTGTTGGTTTACACAAAACTTTCTCATTTCCTTCACCTCTAATAACTTTTTACCAAATGCTATTTTTGTTGGTATATAAATATTATTCATGTTCAATTTTACTTTTTTATTGAACCAAAATTCAATCAATATACTCTTTTTTTTAGAATTGCTTTGTGACAATGCATTATGTGAGTTTTATGTTTATGAGCAAAATATATACTTAACTAAAAATTTCAAATTACACGTCTTCACAAAACTTCAACTTTATCTTATATGATTTCCAATTATATTATGATTTCATTTCACATGACCAAACGGTTTAAGAGGAACACAACTTTATATGGACGAAGACGTTGGAACTGAATGAAATTTGTTGCCCACCCAGCTAACTAGATGCAAATTGCAAACCCAGGAAGAAGTACTTCTCATCCTGTTAGCCAAGTCTTGATAGCATCTCATTAGGAAGAGAAAATTTTGAGATCACAATGTTGCAAACTTGGTTTTGTGTTAACATATATGTTCCTACTGCAATGCAGAGTTGCAGACAAAAACTTGAGATGATATTAAAGGTACCAATTTGTTCAGCGATAACATATTCACACGTCCAAACCATGAGTTCCTATCATTTATGCTACAACAATCATTTGTACGTAGTATAATTCTAGTCAACAGCGGATAGAACATTGCATTTGCTTAGTAATCACAAACTAAACTTTTGTCATTTCTTACGCTCAGTTTAATTCACGCCACTCCGTTTGACATATGCAATATCCAGTTTGTTTCCCATGTTGTCTTGAACCTGCGTGCCACGATGAGGAGTTTGTTGTATGGATGATCGGTCCATCACTATATTAACAGATGTCACCTTTAACTGATAGACGGTCTTCAGTTGCTCCAACAACTTCCAAGAATGCAAACTCAGAAACCAAAGCCAAGTGATCACTACCCAATTTCTGCGGCCCAGAAATTCAGATCAAAATTAGCTTAGAGAAGAAGTTAACACACAAAACATCTCAAGGAATATATCAAATGTAATGAGATCAAGGAGTGCTCTTATCCAGCTTACGAAATAAAAGTTTACTGGTTCACCATAAAGAAAAGATGTTGTGACTATGGTTCTTGATGGCTGAATCTATCCCAAATGTGCAATCAAGTATCAAGTCATTTGCATAATCTAAGACATTCTTATTAACAACATCAAGTTACTATGTCAGAAGAACAATACCTTGTAGGGAAGACCACCTGTTTTCTTCAAGACATTAATTGGTAAAGTATCTAAAACTTTTGTGGGTGCAAGACCATCAGAATACCTGCATGTGGTGGATTTTACTTTAGTGCTTACTCCCTTCAATCAAGTTAGCAGAAAAATATGAGTAGCAGTTGTAATCAACAGCATTAGTACCACAAATAATCAACAGTTCCCAGAAACTTCGAGTGGTAAGATGTGGCTAATGGTTCACCACTGTTATCCCTTGTTGTTAGAGGTCCCTAAGAAGAAGGAAGAGGTAGCGTCTGCCTAAGAGGAATACACAAAGAAATAAACATAAACTGTGGAGAGGAAGGACAAGCCGTACCTTCACCATCGCATAAGAACTATTTAGCTTCAAAGGGTGCATAGCTATGTGGGATTTAGGGGCGCCAATAGCAACATTTATCTCCTCGTCACTCCATCGAGAATTAAAAAATCTGAAGTCAATTGCATGCACACAACAGAATTCTTCATCAAAATCATATGATAATACAAATAATTTAGTTTTCTCACAAGTAAACCAATTGACATCAGAAATCTCAAAAATCAATGGATCAAGAATCAAACACACTTGACAATGTATGAAGGGCATTAATAGCTGAACCCAAATAAAATCAGCAACAACCAACATAAACAGTTGGAAGAGTTATACGTCTTTTCTTATTATTAAATATTTTTAAGCCTTATGTAAATGGGTAGTTAGTTTCATATCTCCATTTTTGTTATATTCTAGCAATGTGACAAAGTCTTATCCCCATAAACAAATTTGGTGATACAGTGAAGTTGACCATACAACACATTATAGTGAAGTTGAAAACTGAGAATGAGGATATAGAGAAGATGTCATGTTGTTAAAAAACACCACATTGTTTTCTCACAAAACAAAAACTGAAGCAACTTATGACCCCCCCTTAGGTTTTATGAACACTCTAGCTATCTGATTTAAAGGAGCACATAGACCTTCAAAAGACATAATAAGTACTGGAAGATCCTTGCTTCACCTGTCCATTAAAACAAACAAAATCCCCTTTTCTCTTCTAAGACCAAGAACTTGAGAGGGATGGCATCGTCTCTGACCAGATAACTCTTTTCGGTTATGTAGCATCAGATTGAGCTGCTATATCAAAAACAAAGCCTTTGAGAAGCAAACAATTCAACGAAAAAAGCATGCAGATCATATTACTTAAGAAGTACTTTAATATTGCATAAAGGATACTGAATTGGGATCTGGCGTATTACCTCGGATGATGACAAGAATTTGTAGATTGGACTCTGTCACAAGGGATAAACAAATAGGCATTGTTTCAGCAAGTAATTTTTAAAAATAGAAGTCAATAACATACTTCATAAAGATAAATTTCAGTTATTCACACCTGGGGAGTACTATTATAATCACCTGCAAGCACAATAGGTACATGGTCCCACTTTTCTGAAAGTATGTGTGCCCTTGATGAAAGAAAACGAATCTGAGAGGAAGAATATAAGTGATAAGTTACCACATGGTGACAAACTAAAGCAAATAGCAATCCTTGGTACCACACGTCAATCTGCATGGTGATGAAACAGGATTTGAAGTCCAAAAGAATAAAACTCACTCTATCCATGTGCCTAAGCAGTAAGAAACGATTTGATAAGTTGGTTTTTACATTTATTTTTCACTTGAATTTCCTAATAACCAAATAAGATGTACTCTTACAGTTTGGGACAATTTTGAAAGCAATTTGATCAGAAACTTCCATCAACAAATTCCAATATCCGAACAGATGATAAATTTAATTTCAATCAAGCAAATTTTTACAAATTAATAATAAGAGGAATTACTTTCTGACAGCTGTGAATTCCAAATAATTGTAGTGTTTATAACAACAATAACCATACGCAGTGTAATCCCACAAGTGGGGTTTGGGGAGGATGGTGTATATGCAACCTTAACCCAACTTTGCGAAGAAGATAGAGAGGATGTTTCCCATAGACCCTCGACTCAAGTAATGATAAGGTAAAAATCATCACAGTACATATTAATGATGCAATTTGGGAAGGCGGATGAGAGGTGATGATCTGGAAATTACACATCTTTTCTAAGGGTTCAATGCTCAAATAGGGAGAGGTGATGATCTGGAAATTAGACATCTTTTCTATGCAGATGATGCCCTGGTTTTTTGTGAAGCAGAAGTGGCACAAATCAGACACTTGAGAGCAATCCTTACAATATTTGAGGGCATTTCAGGGCTTCATGTTAACTGGTCGAAAAGTTTCCTCTTCCCAATTAATCAGGTAGACAATATACAAAGTCTAGCTGAGAATTTGGGATGTCAGATAGCTTCTCTGCCCACGAAGTACCTGGGGTTGCCTTTGGGGGCCAAAATAAGGAGTTGGAGGTATGGAATGAGGTGATGGAGAGATGTGAGAAAAGACTCTCAAGATGGAAAAGTCAGTACCTATCACTGGGGGGTAGGTTGACTCTCATCAAGTCAGTTTTAGATGGGTTACCTACCTACATGATGAGTCTATTTCCAATACCCAAGAGCATTGTGAAGAAAATCAACAGAATGAGAAGATCCTTCATTTGGCAAGGGAACAAAGAAAAGAAAGGCTACAACCTGGTGAAATGGGAGACACTCACTTTGAGCAGAAAACAAGGTGGCCTTGGCATGAGAAATCTTAGCATCCAGAATAATTGCTTGCTACAAAAATGGCTATGGAGATTTTGTACTGAAGATGGAGCCTTATGGAGAAGATTCATAGCAGGGAAATATGACTTGTTTAGCCAATGGACCACTGAGGAGGTGATGGGGTCGTTTGGATGCTGTGTGTGGAAGACCATCAGAAGGTTGTGGCCACAGTTCAATAACAATATTTATATTAGTGTGGGCAATGGTCTGAAAACAGATTTCTAGAATGAAATCTGGAAAGGGGATGATAGCCTGAGGAACTTATTCCCAAACCTCTACACCTTGAGCTTACAAAGATCTGCTACTGTTGCTCAAGTATGGAGCCAACAAGGGTGGAACTTAGTGTTCAGGAGGGCTTTGAATGACTGGGAAATTGAGGATGTGGCCAGGCTACAAGAGGTGCTAAACACCCCTCCAGCTATATCTCAAAGAAAGGATAAACCAATTTGGAAGTTACATAGCAAAGGAATGTTCACAGTCAAATCATGCTACTGGAGGATAAATGTCAATCAATCAGTGACTAAAAAATGGCCTTGGAAGCTAGTGTGGAAGACAAGAAGCCCATTAAAAGTAGCATGTTTTGTCTGGTAAGTCATGAGAAAAGCTTGCCTTACACATGAGGCATTACAAAAAAGGGGGATGCAGTTTTGCCCAAGATGCTTTATGTGTGAGCAGAAAGCAAAAGTAAATAATCATTTGTTCATTCACTGTAAAGCAGCTTCAAAATTGTGGAATATGTTTTTGTGTATACTAGAGGTTAGCTGGGTGATGCCAAAGACAACCATAGAGCTCCTTAATAGCTGGACAAGAATTGGCAACAGAGGGAAAAGTGAAGATTGGTGGAAGACTATACCAGCCTGTATATGGTGGACTCTATGGAAAGAAAGGAATGCTAGGTGTTTTGAAGGACAAAATGATAGTTTTCAGAAGATAGAAATGAAATGCTTAAGTCTTCTATTTTTTTGGTGTAAGCAAGAGTTGGTAGGGGAAAGCATAGAGATGGTCGATTTTAAAGGAAACTTGTAATTCCATATGGCTTTTTAAGGGTGTGCCCACCACCCTGTGGGATGTAAGTTTCCAATTCATCATCCCTTGGATGATGAATTTTTTGTGAATACAAAGTTACCCTTATCTCAAAAAAATATGTGGCTAAAGTGGCTAATTTTGGGGATAGAATGGCTAGCTGGTCGAATAGTTATGTGGTGGAGGGGAGACCCTCTTATAGGCTTTTCAAGAAGTTGAAGTTGCTTAAAAGCTGACATAAAGGTGTGGAATAAAGAGGTGTTTTGGGAGAGTAATATGAGGCTTTTCAAGAAGTTGACGTTGCTTAAAGCTGACATAAGGGTGTGGAAAAAAGAGGTGTTTTGGAAGAGTAAAAGTGAAAATGAGAAATTATGAATGAAGTGGGGGATTTGGAGAAGGTAGAAGTGGGGAGGGAGTTAGATAAGAGGGAGAAGGAGAGGAAAGAAAAGATTGAAAAGGGCGCTAGCTGATTGGCCTTGGCCCAAAAGGTTAGTTGGAGACAAAAATCTAGGGCATTATGGTTGATGGAGGCGGATTCTAGTACAAAAAAATTTCATAGGGCAACAACCTCAAATAGGAGAAGGAACTACATAGAGTCAGTGAAGATCAATAGGGTGAGTTATGCCAGAAATGTAGGGAAGGAGAAAGTAGAGGGGGCAATTGTAGACTTTCATGAACATTTGTTTGAAGAGGAACCAGAGTGGAGGCCTAATTTATTTTTTTGGGGCGGTGGTGGTTAGGGTTCATTCAAATCGGAGGAGAGGAGGGCGAGTGGCTAGGAAAGGCAATCGAGGAGGAGGTGAAAAGGGCGGTGCAGTGTTCTGCGGGTGACACAGTGTCGGGACCTGATGGTTCTCCTTGACTTTTTTCCAGCATTGCTGGAATATGGTCAAAACTGATGTGATGGATACTGTTGCTAAGTTTCATAAAAGATGTCAATTCAAAAATAGTTTGGCCTCGTTCACTGTGATCATTCCTAAATGGGAGGGAGCTACGAGCATGAAGGACTATAGACATATTAGTCTAGTGGGAAGCATCTTTAAAATCATCTCTAAGGTGCCTTCATTAGAATTCAGAAGGTGTTGGACGAAACTATTTTTGCATCGCAGAATGCTTTTGTTGAGGGTAAACAGATCTTGGATGCAACTTTAGTGGAAAACGTGGTGGTGGATTCAAGGAGAAAGCAAGGAGTGCCTGGTGTTTAGTGCAAACTTCATCTTCAAAACGCCAATAATCATGTGGACCAAAAATTCCTAGATTCCATTATTGCTTCAAATGGGATTTGGGGAAAAGTGGAGAAATTAGATATATTTTTGCATCTCTTCGGTGAGATTCTCTGTCGGTAAATGGTAATCCGTGTGGATTTTTTGAGAGCTTGAGGGGTTTGAGACAAGGGGTCCATGTATCTTCAATGTCGTTTATTCTAGTTATGGAAACTTTGAGCTGGATCTGTCTTGGGGGTTACTTCACACTTGAAGGGTTTCGATGCTGCGTTTGGGGTGTAGAGGACAGTTTCAATGACTCACTTGCTGTTTGTGGAATACTTTGGTTTTTTGTGAAGCAGTTGAGACCAAGTTGGATTATTTAGGCCAAGTCCTCACATGGTTTCAGGCAGTGTCATGCCTCAAAATCGACTTGACAAAGTGTGAAACTATTCTACTTGGAGAGGTAAATGACATTGGATCGCTTGCTAAAGTTCTGAATTGCAGGGTTGGACTTCCGATAACATGTATTATAGTGTCGTTAGCTGCGTCGAACAAGGATCATACAATGTTGAATCCCATTCTTTAGAGGGTTGAGAAGAAACTTGCAGGGTAGCACAAAAGATATTTGCCTAATGGCTTATTAAGAGCAGACTGTTGAGTATTCCCACTTACTACATGTCCTCGATTCGTGCTCTAATTTTTGGTTACTGAAAAGTTGGAAAAAATTCAAAGAAATTTCTTATGGGCTGCGGCAGGAAATTTCACTTGGTGCAGTAAGAGACTGTCACATCTCCTAAAAATGGGGAGGTCTACCACTAATTATCATATAAATGTTTTAAAATATTTTATTAATATAATATTAGATCAATTTAGTATTTTATTTAAACTTTATATTTATTATTTTTAAAACAAAGACAAATTTTATACATTCAAATGTTGAGAAAACAAACAGGATTAACTATTTAGTATTCAAATCTTACTACAACCTCTTATTTAAAAAGATGCAAAGGTCTTTAACAAGCCTTATTAGGCAACTGGAATAGGAAGTTCGGAGTGGTGATAGCTGATAAATATGGAATAGAAGGGGGTTGGAGAACTAGAAATATCACTTTGCCTTTTGGGTGTGGTTTGTGGAGGAATATTATGAAGGGATATAAGTATTTCTGGGAATATATCTCATTCATGGTCGGAGACAGAAAAACAGTAAATTTTCGGCACATCGAAAGAGGAGTTCCAAAGAATTTCCAGAATATCTTGTCAAAGAGACTTGACGGTACAACTAATTAGGGGGATACAAGGTGGAGAGATTTTATGGAACTTGAGATTTATAAAAGAATTTCAAGATTGGAGAGTGACCGAGTTTCAAAGATTGTTAGCCTAACTTCATAGATAAGTCAATCTGATTGATAAACCCGATGGTTGATGGTGGGACTTGGGAAATAATGGAATATTCTCTGTGAAGGCCTTCTACGAGAAGATTTTAGTTAGGAGGGAGCAAGCTTTCCCATGTAATGTAATATGGACTCCAAAGGTGCCATGAAAGATGTGTTTTTTCACTTGGCTAGC